GATTCGATTCGTGGAATATTCGATTCGATTCGAATATTTTATTTACCATGAATTAAAAAAGATCTATTATAAAATTTATTTTGTAAAATTTAACTAAGGATAAAGACAAACAAATTTTATTAGTGAGACAAAATAGAAGCATACATATATAATATATTTATATACAATGTGGAAAAATCAATATAATATTCATATCAATGTAGTAGATAAATCTGACAACAGCCAATCTTTCAAACATAAAGTTTTTCGGATTGTTTCCTCCTTTAACGACATTCTGTATTTTGTAACCATATGAGCTCCAACAGAAAAGAGTCGCTCACATGGGGTTGAAGATTTCTGTATCGACAATATGTTCCTCGCCATTTTAGATAACACGACATTAGCAATATTTTACAAATAAAGTGGTAAAAACTTTAGGCAAAAAGTCAAATTTATGATTTCTCCATCATCAAATGAAAGAGAAATATCAGGTTTGCCCGTCATTCTTGATGTGATGGGATTAACAGTTTATTATAATTGTATATGTTATGTGTTATATAAATTACCTTCTTCGTCCATCTCTATCATAAAAGAAATTTCTAAAGTAATGGTCTATTATGAGATAATTAAAATGGAGTTTCAAAATTTGGCGCAATTTTCATTATTCCACTAGGAGATTTTATTAAATTGAAATAATTTCAAATAATTCTTAATAATAATATATGATTTATATATGATTATTTTCCAATATATATTAATACTATAAATTATTTAGTCGAATAATCTCGAATAATTCGATCGAATAATAGATAAAAAATTATTCGACGAATAATATATTTTCCTTATTCGAATTCGATTCGAATTTTCGAATCGAATAATTGTGTTATTCGTATTCGTAAAATACGAATCGAATCGAATATCGAATAACAAATAATTCGTTTTAGGTATAATTATATTAGTTGAGCTTGGGTTGTCAGATATGATGCTTTTTTATATTTTAATATTTATTTTAATTTTCTCATTAACCTCCTTTTTATACATTTTTTTTCTAAATTTAAAGTATTTTTTTAAATTGAATTGTAACATCCAATTTAAAAATATACATTTTATTATGGTAAAATTTATATTTTATTTAATCTTAATTTGATTTTTCTTATTTTATTTTGATCAATAAACTTGGAAAATAATTATTTATTTTTATTTTATATTTATAAAATAAGTAAAATAAATAATAAAAAAATTTACAAAAATAAAAAAAAATAAAGTACCTAAAAAGATATTTATACTGCTCATTAAATATTTGTCAATTTCTTATTTAAAAAATCTACCTTAATAATTTGATGTTTTAGATTATCAGTTAAAAATAAAGTTGATTTTTATAAAATAAATTTTAATTTAATTTATAAATTTATATTTAGAGAGTACATGTTAATCAATATTCAAAAATTGAAAATCATATCAATAGTTATAATAAAAAAGATATTAGCCAAAATATAAAGTCTTCTGAGAAAAAACAGTCAATATTAAATTTTAGTCAAAAAATATATGAACCTACAAAAACTGAAGGAGATAATGCAATCATTATGTCATTGAGACACTAGTTCCTTTATCAACTGTAGACAATCCTAGCTTGTCAAAATGATAAAAACGTTTTCCATTTCAGCAAAGGTAATGTGCCGCCAAACACTAATAGCAAAGATAGGTTTGCGTTATGATAAAATGATGGATGATATTATAGAAATGCTATCTGGAGTATCTTATGTGTGTACCACAGCTGATTGCTTAGAAGGTAGTGCCTATATTTTTAAATGTGCTTGATTAATTTAACTTATAAAGGTCTTTTTTGAGTGTAACAGTTCATTGGATTGACACAAAATCATTGCAAAGAAAATCAGCAACTTTAGCCCTAAGACGTGTTCAAGGCAAGCATACTTTTGATGTTTTGGCCAAGATGATAATTGATATACATAAAAGCTTTAAAATTCAGAATAAAGTGATAAAAACCATTACTGATAATAGTAGGAACTTTGTGAAAGCATTCAGGTAATCTTAAATATTTATTTTAAAATTATAACTTTCCTTTTATTTTTTAGAATGTTTGAAGATAAAAGTTCTGATATGGATGATGATTTCCAATTTCTGGATATTGATGATATCCTAAATAATAGGGCAGAAAGCTTTGATTATCTCCCTCAACATTCACTATGTGCTTGCCACAATCTCAATTTGGTGGCAACAGTTGACGCAGAGAAAGCTTTAGGTGATAGAAGCTTTCAAATAGTTTCTCAAAATTTATTCCAAAAGTGTCAATCTTTGTGGAATAAACAAAATATATCTACAAATATGGCGGACGATATTATCAGAAAGTTGGGTAGGTATCTAATATGCCCAAATTCCACTAGTTGGAATTCTTATTATGAGTCTATGGTTTTGCTAGATAAAATATTAGATGAAAAACAAAAGGACCTTGATGAGTTGTGTGATAACCATGGGCTTATACGTTTTAACTCCCACGAACGTAAATTTATTAAAGAGTATAGTCAAGTAAATATTAATATAATCGTTATCTTATTGAAATAAATAAATTTTAGGTTATGGAGCCTATGGAAAAAGCTCTAAAAATCCTTGAAGGGGAGCTTCATATGGACATGGGTTTCCTAAGTCCAACCATTTCTAAACTTATTTCAAAATTAAACGAATTAACAGATTTAGAGTTTTGCCAACCTCTTGTAAAGTCTCTTATAAGAGGTATTAATAAAAGGTTTATAATAAAAAATAAATTATATCTATTTAAATAACTTTATTGCAGATTTTCAAATATTTATAATGATGATAATATCATTGCAACGATTGTCCATCCTGCATTCAAATTGAATTGGGAATGGATAAAAAATCCAAAAAATATGGAACTAAAAGGCAGAATAATTAATTTTTTAAGGCAAATACCCGACGGAAAAATAGCTACTACTAGTTCACGGGAACCTTGCAATGATTTGGAAGATTTCTTTGGATTCCATGAAATTGATCACCATGAAGATAATATATTGGATAGATATTTTTTAAATAATGATAGCAAAATTACTATTTTTGAACAATTCCCTGAATTAAAAAATATTTATATAAAATACAATACCTCGCTTCCCTCTAGTTTTAAAACGTGAATTAAGATTGAGAATATGGGGAGTAAATTCATTAAACGAATCCTTATTATCTTACAGCTTATTATAAAAAAGGGTTCGTATGGCCACCCACTTTGTAAGGTACTTCAATTAAAATCTCACAATTTGATATTACATTTTCTAATATATTTCTCTGGATATGATTAATAATTTTATAATTTTAAAAAAAACTGATATTTCTTTTAATTACTTGAATCTTCAAAACTTCGAGGGGTGGATTTAAAAAACAAATTTATTTAGGTATATTTAAAGTAGAGACCTGCCAGTCAGGGCCAAAATAAATATTATTTTAAATATCCAGTTTAAGATAATTATTTTTTTCTGAAGAAATATTTCCCTAGATTCCTCAAATCTGGTATCAATGACATCAAAATCCTTACCTTAATTTTGGGCCCTCATTGAAATAAGTTTATTACCAAATTCCATTACTCTCTTTCAGCCCTTTTAAGACAATTATCCATAAGGGTAGTAAAAACAATTTGTGAAATAAAATTTTATCAGTTTTCTATGTTTTTAATTTTCATAAATGTGAGGCCATCAAATTTCTATGGACAAGCTTGTTCTCCAATATTTTCTATATTAAAATTTCCAAAATAGGATAAGAATAAATATTTTAATTCTGGGTCTGTCAGAATAAATTTTTAACCAGAATATAATTTCTCAACATGTAAAAATAACAAATATTAAATTCCTTTCATACTTTTCCAATTGATATAACGTATTTCAACTCTTGCATTATAATCTAAAAATACTGTTCATGTTGCCAAATATACATATCCAATTATTTTATTTGTCATTAATATTTTATTACAAACTTAAATTATAAAAATTATTATATATTATATATATTGGAGTGGGAATTTATTTTTTAGTTTTATAGGAAATGAACGATAAGATTAGTTTGCTAATTAATCCATTTAGGCTCTATTATGTGGAATCAATAGTTCCCAAAAAGTAGCTTTGCTATTGATTAAATACTTACATACTTCATTTTATATAGAAAATTGCACTACCTATTGATATATATATATATATGTAAAATTAATAATAATATTAGAATATATAATTCTATATAAATATAAAATAATATTATATACTATATTATAATTTATATTTTAAAAAAATATATGAATATATTATATCAAAACAAAAATTTAAGAAAATAATTTTTTATAATTAAATTAGTAATTATAAATATAGTAAAATAATGTATAATAAAATGTTTTCATTCAAAAAGAAAAACTAATTATTTTAAATACATATAAAAAATATATTTAAATCATGATTTACTTATCAAAAATTAGTTATTTTTATCATACTAACCCTTACTTCTAGATAATTTAAAAAAATTATAGTTGATACTAGTGTTGTTAAACGGCTCATTTTGAGCCGATTTTTTAAGAAGGCTAACTCAATATTTTAGCCAGAAAAAGATTGTTTAAGCCTCGAGATTTCTATAATATATGTCTGGACCTTTATTCTTCCTATGAGCAAATCCTTTAGGCTTGCGTAATATTTTTCTGGAAGAAATATTGAGTTAGCCGATTTTAAAAATCGGCTCAAAACGAGCCGTTTAACAACACTAGTTGATACCGAAGAACCTTTAATGTTAAATTATGTATAAAATAGATAGATATATTGAAAAGTTGAAGGTGTTAAAATGTGGATAAAGAGATCAGTCATATCAAATCAAATCATCCTTTAAAAAGTGGCTTTGATTGGTAAAATGGGACAAAATATTTTTACAAATCAATAATTTCTACATATAATAATATTTATTAAACTAGATATACATATAAGCAATCTTATAATTAATAGAATAGTCAAACTAATTATATTTACTTGAATTTTTTAAGTGGCATATCTGGATTTTTACGAATTAATGTTGTTTTTGATAATTTTGTTTTTAATAATTTCAGGTATTTTTCAGGTATGGCATTGTGTGTATCATGTTCGGGTTTTACCATTTCAATAGATGGCTTTGTAAGCAAATAGTCATCAATCTGTTTAATGAGGTCTTGTTTGATATTAATATTGTCTAAATAAAAAATTTATCAGATATAAAATTAAAATGTATACATTTTTGATCACTTTGACATTTTTGATTATCTAATATATGAATAAATTGATCTACCAAGGAATTTTCCAATTCCTTTTCATTCATATCATTCATGATTTGATTTTTATCTTTAAAATCATCCTTTTAATATAAATTAGTATTATAAAGTAAATATATATATACCATAATAATCTGATTATCCATTATTTCTTCAACAAACATGTTTAAAAGTGAGTAATTCAAATTTTTTTGTTCTTGATATTTTGAAAAATATTCAATCAGGAAATCAGAATTTAAACGAGTTAATGCAACACAGCACTCTTTAAGATTATATGGCTTCAAATTTCTCTGGTCTTGTATTGTATTCATTACTAACTCAACATTATTGGATAAAATAAATGGATCAGAATCTGGATCACTTGAAATTAATTCTTTATTATCCATAAGAGTAGATGATTGAGTAATAATTGCTTCATTTTCAGTTAAGATTGACCTTTTTATATAGAGATATTGATTAAAATATTTGTCAATGTCTAAGTTTTCAAAATATTGTGATACATTATTTGGTTCGTTTAGTTGTTTTAAATTTAATTTTGATTGAAGTAAATAATTTTCAATCACTTTATTTAGTTCTATAAGTTGATCGAGATAATTTATAATAATATGAGAATTTGATGTCAGCTCGGTTTTGACCATTGAATAAAAAAAACCGAGACCGAACCTCGAATAGTTTGAGCGCTAATAGATAAAACTTCAAAAAAATTTCTAGCATTTTTAAGAACACTTGTTAAATAATTTTGACACAATTTTATTACCATTAATATTAGATTTAATCTTGTTATATAAATTAAAAACCCCGATCTGGGTTTTTAAAAATGGCCCGATTAAGATTTTAACAAAAATAAAATTATGAAAGCTTCGAGATATGGCATAGAGGTCCAAACCTTTCTGCCATCTATGAGCAAGATCTCAATGCTTACATAATATTATTTGGGCTAAAATTTTATTTGGGCAATATTTATAAATTGACTCCAATCGGGCTTTTTAACAAAACTAATCTAGACTTTTCTGATTTTCACTATATTTTAACTAACATTTTTTTATCTTATACTTATCTAGGAAAACGAACATGCTAACCAGTAGAAAAGTACTAATTTATTTATTTATTTTATCTATATATATAAATATATACTCAATTTATATACATAAGTATTAAAAAGCCTTATGAACTATGAACGAATTAGATATAAACTTAGAATTATACTTAAAATTTATAATTGACATAACTCGGCATAGACATTTAATCTTTTTAACCTTTTAATGCTCCGGTACTTAAGTTTGAATATCAATAACTGATAAAAGAAATATATTTATTTTGAAAGAACATAGAATTTTATATTAAATTTGAATCATTTAGGTTAGATCTGAATTCATAGAAAGTCTATAATCAATCCTTAGAATATCTATATTAGACAAAATGTACCACAGAACTAAGCTCTCACACTAATATTGGTATAAACCCATTAAACTTCAATTAAGTAAAAATAAAATTTAACCCGTACCAAATAAAATAAAATTTTGTTTAAAACGGGTATGGGCTCTCTTAAACTATCTTTTCAAGCACTTAAGCTTTAGGGCATATAGTCTTTATGTGGCACAGATAACTTATGTCTGCCCAAAAATTGTTGGATGATTCTTGTCATTTTAAATCAACCCCATATATCTTTTTACACAGTTTGATGGGTAAACGGCGTAGCTCTCTTATTTTAATGAAAGAACGATGAGCTTAAAAAATGACTTAATTTTATTCAAGAATCAGGGGCGTCGCTAGCCTTTACAATCTCAGGGGGCTCAACTAAAAAAATTTAAGGGGTCTTCGCCTCCCATGCCCCCCAATTTGCGGGCCTTCGGTCCGCATTTGCCCGGCCTTCGGCCGGATTTTATGTTAATATATTATACTTTTTTTAAATTTGTAAACTCTGAACAATTATTCTGAAAAATTTCTAATTTATTATATGATGTATACAAAATAAACTGGCATATAAATAATTAAAACAATACAAGACATTCTTAAAAATAAAATTTTTTAATACAAAATCTATTTATTGCATATAAAATAATTGCTGATATAAAGAAAATTTGCGTCTAAAGAATTAAAAGTGATAAAAAAGATTAATTAATTCATACATATGCCTCATTTGATAATAGTTTTTAAAAACCACATAATGCAATAATATAATTCTTACCAACTTACATTGGCAAAATGTTATCAAACTAATTTAACTCTCTGTTACCATTTTACACATTTATAGAATGGACTAATAAGGAAAAATTTATAGGCCTAAACCAAATCAACAATTCTTGAAGAGGTTAGAGCTTCCATTTAGATGACACATGATGTTAGCTAGATAAGTAATCGATAAAATTATTGTGAGATATTAAATTTCTAAAAGATTATCATCCATTTTAAATGATATATAATATATATAAACGACTACACAGTTGACCATTATTATTGTTATCTAAAATATGCAATCAAATACTCTCAGCCGTTGTAGTAATAATCTTAAATTGCATAGCAACACAAATAATAGATGCTGGTTAATTTGCAGTAATAGCCATGACACTCACGATGTAAACTAGTACATATAAGAATTTATTATAAAATAATAGTAGTTTGTAAAAATATCAAAAATATACTTGGATTAAAAATTTAACTTGAAACTGTTTTTTGAAAAAGAAAAAAAATAGCTTTCCTAACGCAAAAAAATAAAAGATATCAAATTTATAGTGGCGTAGCTAGGGGGGGAGGAAAGGCGGGGGCTCGAGCCCCCTGAAAAATTTGAATAGCCCCCTGAAGCAAAAAAATTTTTTTTTAATGGCTCTTTAATATCCCCTTGAACTAAAAATAAATTTTTTTGATTGCCCACTGAATGATTTCTTTTATAATTTTATTGAGTAATATATAGATTTAATTTTATAATTTAAAAATTAATTAATCTATCTAAACTATTCCTAAATGAATACTATTTAATTATTAGATTAGATTAATACTTATAAATTATATTTTCACTATGTCAGCTTGCAATCAAATTCTATGTTAAAAATAGAATATTAATATCACTCACTAAATATTAATTTAGCTTTAACAGTTGAAGCTTTATTGACTTGTATTATTTAAATTATTATATAACCCTAATTAAATAAATATTAATTGAAAATTAACAAATATAATATTGTAATTAGCCGAGTTCAAAATCACTAATCAACTATATTCTTGATATTTAAATTTAATTAACATGCCTCTTCTTAAAATTATATTCAAGGTCCAAATCCAAATAAGTGTAAGACTATAAAAAGTAAGTAAACATATAGTTTATAATCCTCTATTAGATATAATTGGTTATAAATTATTAAGTTAAATAGCACTTTTACAGACGTATTTGACAGTTATATAATATATAACAGTTAATATTTTAATAAATTTTACTAATAAATGCTTTTAATTAGTGTTGTTAAACGGCTCGATTTTAGCCTATTTTAAAAACGGCTAATTCAATATTTTAACCAGAAAAATATTGTTTAAGCCTCAAAATTTCGTTAATATATGTCCAAATTTTTGTGCCACCTATGAGCAAAATCTTAAGGCTTGCATGATATTTTTCCTAATAAAATATTGAGTTAGCCGTTTTGAAAAATCGGCTCAAAATGAGCCGTTAAACAACACTACTTTTGATAATAAATATAAGTAATAAATTGCTTTCAAATATATAACGCCATCTATATATTTAGAAAAATTTTAAAAAATTTAACATCATATTATTTATCCCAGTATGGATGTAATGAATTAGATAACTTTTCTTCTCTTTTTTACGTGTTTTTAAGAAATTTATTTTTTTTCTTATTTGAAAAACAGTTTTGAGCTATTTTTTTTAGTATATTTTTGATATTATTACAAACTACTACTATTTTAATACCAACTAGAGGTGGTGCGACAATAATATATAAAATCTTAATTAATTTCTTTTATCATATCATATCACTCTGGTTCTTATTTTATAGTTACAAAATGTTTCATTTCTAATATGGCATCTCTACCTTGTAAATAACTTAAGCATAGACGTAGCCGGAGGGGGGGGGGTCAAGGGGAAATTCCCCCCCCCCTTCAGAAATGTATCACTTTTTGTAAATATTCAATTTAGGAAGGTTTATTCTTTTTTATTTGATAAATATGAAAATGGTGCTGTGTAAAGCAAATGTTCCATAAGGGTTATTGCAGTCACAATTCGCAATTTTATTACCACTATATTATCAATGCGGCGAAATGATCACTCTTTCAGGTGCAGTATAATCTCATTTGTATTCGACTTTGAGAGAAGGCCACTAAAGGCAAATTATTCCAAAATTGGAAATTAATATATTATAAAGGTAAAATAAAGACACAAATATTCAAAATTGGGAATTAATATATTATAAAGGTAAAATAAAATGGATGAATATTCCAAAATTGGAAATTAATATATTATAATGGTAAAATAAAAACACAAATATTCAAAATTGGAAATTAATATATTATAAAGGTAAAATAAAAAAGATGAATATTCCAAAATTGGGAATTAATATTATTAAGATAAAATAAAATAATAAATATTAAAAAAAGAAGACCGCATTTCTTTATTCTTATTCGTGAGACGAATCAAACGGCGTCCTCCTATGGACATAAAGCCGCATTTATTAATTCTTATTATAAAGTCGATCAAGATAATTTATTTTCGGCGAAATTTTTATAGACACCAAAATAAGCGGAATGTTTAAATATATAGTTTGGAGTAAATGGAAAACGTCAGATGTGTATTTATATTTAGTATATTATTGGTCATATATTATCAATCACCCCTAACACTTGGGTTTAGTAATGGGTGACGTGTTGTAATGTACATTTTTTTAATGTATATTTTATTTGATAAAGTGATTTATGTTAACAGATGTATTAATTTTTATATAAATAACTGATGATATTTATTACATTAACGAAATTGTAAAAAATCACTTTTTCATTTTATAAAAACTTTTGATTCAATTTAATTTTATAATAATAGAAAAAAAAATAAAGATAAAGTTAACATAATTTTATCTCAGAGTATCGCCATCAGAGGCGATACTCTTATTCCATATAAAAATATATAAGTTAAATTAAATAAAATTTCAATAATTATATCTGAATCCCCATTAATTATAAAATCATGTAGATTCTTTTATTCAATTTAGGAAGGTTTATTCTTTTTTATTTGATAAATATGAAAGTTGGGCCTATAAATTTTCCTTATTAGTTTATTCTATAAAACATATTCTTGACCTTTTGTCAATCTAAGTTGCTAATTTTATAATATGTAGTTTTTAAAAACCATATCAATAGAGGCATATGTATAGGCGTAGCCAGGGGTGGGGGCAAAGGGAAATTCCCCTCCCCCCCTTCAGAAATTTATCACTTTTTGTGAATATCATTTTAAGCTAATAAAAAATACCCCCCTTAGTCCTCCCCCCACTTCCTGACCCCCAAAAATGAATGCATATATCTTAAGCAATAATTTGAAAGAAAGAATGTAAAAG